TAAATTCGACGCTTGGATAAATTCAACGATATATTATATAAATATAGAATATTTTTTATATCAGGTATTATATTAGTATATAATAATTAAATAAAATTATTCGAAACACTGTACTTTTTAATAATGATATGTTTTGCACGAGTTTATATGCAATACTTTTATATTTAAACATATTTGGTAATGGGTTTCTGTTTAGGAGCTTTTTTATATACTTCCTATTTATATTTATTTTTAACGTATTGCGTTACAATGTTAACCAATTGATACACGAACGTAAACAAGTGCAAACCGTTATCAGTCATATGAAAACAATAAAGCTGTATAATATCACCTGATAATTAAGATTTTACATAAAATATTANACTGGATTTTCTGCTGTGGCTTCTTTGAAGACAAAATATAGATCACGGCTAAATATAGAAACAAAACTGAGAGTGACTATTTCTAATATTAAGCCTCACCTCAAAAAACTTTGCTCTGCAAGACAGGCCCGAGGAAGTCACCAAAAGATATATATATATATATATTTAAAATTCAAATTATTATTATTCTTTATAAACTATTTTCCTGAGTCCAAAGGATGTTTAAAAAAAAATTATTTATAGAATTAAATAAGAGTACAGTGAAACCTTCCTAAGTTGACCAATGACCATTGCTTTAGTGAGAAACTAAGTGAGGTGGTCTTTGGTAATTAATTCGATATCATTCAATATATTTCTTTGCCTTACTACTGCCAAGATCTCTAATCTTAGCTTCAGATATTTAATGCTGTTTATACTTTTAAAAATATAAACGTAAAGGTTAACTTTCTCTGAGTTAATTAAGACATCATCTCGAACTAATAAAACAAATGTATCGAAAAAATGAATGAAATTTTCTGAAAAACAGTGAGTAAAAATTCACGAAAAAAGCTAACCGTGAAAAAAGGCTTAATTTCAGCATTAATGGCAATAACTTTCAGATAATTAGAATTTCGAAAGAAACTATCGTTCAGTTTATAACTAAAAATGAGCCCATTTCAGCACGTCGAATTTCAACTCTTTCATTGCATTTCTGTAGGTTGCAGAGTGACCCAAAAGTTTTTTTTTTTTTTTTTTTTTGCTAAAAGTTATTAATTTTTGAACTAGTTTTATTTTATTTTATTTAATAACCGTCGTTGAAAAGCAGACCCAATTTTGGGTTAAAGGCTACCAAGGTTCAACTGCGTACCCTTGTAATTTTGAACCCAATCCAGAAGACAAGGAAACTCCTAGATTAAGTATTGGGAGAAATTTGCCTTCGTTGAAGACTTTTTGATGAAACTAACCTGCATTTGCGTTAGATGGAGAGGAAAACTACGAAACCACTATGATGACAAGGGGGCTCTAACCCATGATCCGTCTAAAATTGAGAATATTTTACGTCAGCACAATGTTCAGTGCGAGCTGGGTGCGGAATTCGAATCAACCAGTCAACACTTGGATTCGAACCCGGTTCACCTCATTCGAAGGTGAGCGCTCTATCCCCTGAGCCACCACGGCTCTCTCGAACTAATTATCGAATGTTTATTGTTTCGATTAGCTAAGTAAAATGTAACGTAAAGTTAAACACTCAAAATTGATGGTTTCGCTTTCGAGTTTTTAATATATAGAGATATACTGTCGCTTATTGTTTTTGTCCGACACTGTGCTTTTCTACGATGCTATATATACGATTCATGTCCTACAGTGGAATTGTCGTTTAAGACACAGTTCCCAGTTAAACGTCATTGGCTGCGCTCAATCTGCAGGTAAGTGACCACTTGGATCAGTCAACGAAGGGACCGAGGGTGTGCGGTATTTGTCCTCGTTAAACTGTTCTACCGTAAAGTGCTCGACTTCGAAGCGGGGGTGCCATTCCCTCTGCAGAGGATAAAAATTTTGATGGTCTCTGTTAGGATCATTCTCAGAATCCCATACCGTCGCCAATCCCATTATGCTGCTCTAGTGCGAAGTAAATAAACTACAACTATATATATACATAAAATCTCGAAACCACAGAAAACTATCTGTATAAAAATATTCAGCTTGATTTGCAAGTGACACTTTGGTTACCTCCCTTCTAAGTCAAAATGGAAAAACAAAAATTTAATTTTAATAATAATTTAAGATAATATCTTGATGTAATGTAAATTTTATTCATCGAAAAAGAACAGATAAAAAAAGAAGAAATGCTTAGATTAATATTAGCTGATAAAGTTTGTTTAATGGATTTGAAAACAAAATCCTCGTGGAGTTGAGCGTGACTCCGTTGTTTATTGAGGAAGCAGTCACAGTTAAAAGATGTTTTCGATGCGAAGTAAAGAAAGTGCGGAGGATCAAAATTCTAATGGTTTGTCTTCGGATCATCCTCAGAAGCCCAGACCGTCGCCAACAGCCCATTAGTGCTACGTAAATGAACTAGTACTGAAATAACATACGATTCTTAGTGCACAACACTATACCTACATTGACTTTTTATGGAATTTTTATACTTTTTTTAAACGCACGGAATTATCTATTTAAAAATAATATAAATTTGTATTTATCAATCAATAAATCATTACAGACATTATTTCTGTATTGTGTACTATCTTCCAAAATTATGATTTTCTACTGTGGGGCAAAAAACTGTGTGTCAGTCGCCATCTGTTTACTACTTTTTCCGCCACATTTTAGAATTATTTTTTAAGTAAATATGGAATCGTTATGAATGTTTTATGATATTTTTTGTATTTTTGTTTTGTTTTGCCCTTGTTTCTTAACTCTTTTTTTTTTTTCATTTTAGTAATGAAACTTGTCATGTTCATCCTATTTTAAGAAATGCTTTGAAAGAAATAACTTACTTTCAACAGTTTTAATCGGCTAAAAAATTTTAAAAAGTAACCACATGTTTTTTAAAAAAAAGTCCCTATTGAAAATGCTACAACTGAGTGATTGCAAAATTTCCTAATTTTACCCTATGCTTTCTACCAACCAATAATTGTTCTATTCTTCTTTTTTTTTCTCCCTGTCTCTGGTATCGAAAAATTGTTGATTCTAGTATAGAGTTTATTGACAAAATACAAAATGTTGCCATCCCCGGTGGGCAGTTATTTCCAACCTATAAGTAAAATGAAGTATTGTCTTCTGACGTCAATGCTATCAAAGATGACGTCAAAAGGTCAAACCGCAGACCAGTCAACCCATCATTATGCAAAGTTCAACAGCCTTTGAATAATAAATTCATAAATGTGTGAAACGAAATGCAGTGAATAAATCCAAATGTTCCTTCATTTTCGACTTTTTAGCAGAAAAAAATTTAAAAAAAACTATCAGAATACAGTCGGACCTCTATTTAACGAAGTCGCTCAATCCCGATAATAAGTTCGTTATATGGAAAATTCGTGAATTAGAAAATCACCATTCGAAATACTTAAACAATAAAAAAGCAGGTTTTAAATTCAAAAACACTAGGCATAGTTAAAATAGCAATGGATACCCCTTTATTTTGTAAACTAGTATCTACTATTTATTTTATAAATCTTAGCCATCTGCATGGAAAGAAAGAATGGAGCAAAACATTATCTAGTGTTGTATACATTTTCAACTAAAAAGAGCTAAATTTATGTACAAAATTGTAGCTGCATTTGTTATAAAAGTAATTTTAAACATGCATGACCACATGCGATCTTAAGTTCAATTGCTACTGATAAAAATCCGTTTTGTCTGAGTTTGTCAAGCAAACATAAAAGGTAAGGGATTTTCTGCTTTCGCTAAAAGTGAAGTTTGAAGTGGCTTTGAAAATCAATGTAAGGTTATTTCCTCCATAAAATACGTTAACAAGTTTGAAATGTTTTGAAATATTTTGAGAAATAGGGAAAGTGTATCTCGAAGAAGAGTTTGTTAAAAAGAAAATTAACTTCGCTATTTTAGAAGTTATTTTACAAAGAAATTTCCAAAACGTTCTTGGTTCCTAGGGAAAAAAAATCGCAAAATAGAGAAGTTCGCAAAATGGAAGTTCGTTAAATAGAAATTTAACTGTATTACATTTTAAAACAAGGTTTCCAATGACCAGCAAAAAATAAGAAAAGTGAAAAACAATTAGAAATGATTTGGATTCAACAACGAAATTAAAAGAAAACATCGAGCGAAACATTCGAAGCTTAAAATACATGCTTAAAGGATTATTAATAATTACCATTATGAATCACAAAATTTATGAAATGGAAGCTTCTAGGTTTGTTCACAATTCATCAAAATCATGAAAATAAATATTAAATTTTTGATAAATTTTCCAGAAATAATGAATCTGACAAATAGATACGGGCACTGTTTATTTGACCATCCATTACATTACTTGTAATGTCTATAACGGCATCATCCCGGCTGGACACGGGGGGGGGGAGGATTTTTGAAATTTTTTTTAAATATATATTATCTCCCCTATGTTACAAAAAAGTATTATGAAGGCCGGGATAGCCTGGATGGTAGGGCACTGGGCTCATGTCTATAAGGTCATGGGTTCGATCCCCAAAGACTCAAAACTGGGTCGGTTGTTCAACGACGGATATGAAAAAAAATATTTAAAAAAAAGTATTATGCCTTTAAAAAACACTTAATATCTACGCATTATAAAGTATACACATTTATAAATAGTAATTAACGCAAAACTATTATTATATCCTGAAAATTTTTATAAAATGTAGTTATGTTGCTCAAACACATTTTTAACACTTACATAATGTTATTTAAATCTTAAAATCTCGCATATTAATTTTCTAAGCTTTTGATACAAAATGAGCTGAGTATAAAAAAATTGTCACCAAAATTTAGTTATTGATATTTCATATTTTAGTTTCTCGAGTTCTTTAGTTTCTAAGTTCGAGAGAACAGCAAACATGCATTTGAAATTTATTTCTTCAAAAATCCTATCTTTATTAAGAAAAAGTTTTGTTTGAATTCATTATCTAGGGTAGCTACCTATTCATGTGTTGTTAATAGGATTTATCATTTTATTTACAGGAATAACCAAATATGTTTGTCCACTTGACTGCGACATTTTTACTGCTTTTGAGCTGTGGAACATTTTGTTTTGCTGATGTTAGAAATTCGACTTTGCTCCACAATGAAAACAATTTCAACCAAAGACAGTTATTAAACGACACTACAACTGAGACTCGTGTGGCATCGGACGAATTTTCGTACGATGACGAAGAAATAAGAGATGCTAACAAACATTCCAAAAGTCTTCTAGAAAGCAAGAAGCTTTTTAGAACTTTCTTAACAAACGAGCAGCGCTTGAGAAAGAATCTACAAGAAACTGCCAGACAATTTGTGCCATATTTACAGAAAGAAGTCGATGAAAAACTTTCTGTGCACGATGTGCTACCCGTGAAGATGGTAAAATTCATAAAAAGCATGGTCGAAGATGCACCTTGGGAAGCAATGTTTATGAAAATGGTTCGCATGGTGGTGGATCAGTTCGTGGATAAAATAATTGAAAAGATGTTTGCTGGCAAAGACGAAGAGGATAAGTGGAGATCAGCTGATGGTTCATTCGAATTCAACCCGTCTGAGCTTCCAATCCTCACGTCCGTCGAGCGCATGCGCAGATCCGCCGATTTTTCAAAAGTATCCAAAGATGGTAACGGCTTGCCATCCATGAATCAGTTGAAGAAAGAGGCGGGAGAACTTGAAAATGATAATTGGTTAGATCTTTTCTTGGAATACGTGTTTCCTGGGGGAGAGGAAAAAGTGGACGAGAGAGCAAATCATAAGTTGGCATTGAAAAGCCGACATAAAAGAGACGGGGAACATTTCGAAGAAAAAGAAAACGGCATTGACCTTTCTTCTCTGCTGGACAAGGATCTCTTCGACGGGATGCAGAACTTTGTGCTCACTGTAAAAGTACGCCAAGCATTAAAAGATTTTATTAAGTACCGCATCCTCAAACGCGTCTTGCGACCACTGCGAGAAATAAATGACCCAAACTATTTATTGAGCAGCCACAGGAATAAGCCAAGTTTTCTTCGCGGCCAAAAATATCAAGCCAACTTCATACGGCGTAAGAGATCAATCAACGGTAACCAAAAACCTTCTACGAAAGATCATTCTGAGAGATTGTGGCATCACGGTGTAAGATCTTCGCATTTCAAAAGAGATGATTGCAGTCTGCGTAGAGCTTGCAATGCTGGAAGGCTGCTGTCTAGGTTGCCATCTGTAGAAGACATCACACTTCAATTGAAGTAAGTATTTTCTTTTATTTTTTTTAATAACAGTCGTTGAACATCGGACCCAATTTTTGGGCTTATGACTACTAATATTCAACGCCGTAGCCTTGTCATTTTGAACCCAATCCAGAAGACAAGGGAACTCCTGGATCAAGTAGTGAGAGAAATTTTGCAGTTGGAGAGGACTATTGATGGAACTAACCCGCATTTGCGTTACGTGGAGAGGAAGACCACGAGAACATCTCAGAGTTAGCCTGACGGCAAAGGGACTCTAACCCATGATCCGTCTACCACTGAGGATATTTCACGTCAGCCTGATGGTCGGTGTAAGCCGGATACGGATTCGTATCGACCAGCCATCGCTGGGATTTTAACCCGATTCACCTTATTGGAAGGCGAAAGCTCTACCCTCTGTACCATCGCAGCTCAATTAAGTATTTTTGTCAAGTGAATGAATGTAAGGGCCGGAATAGCCTGGTTGGTAGGGTACAGGACCCATGTCCAAGAGTTCGTGGGTTCGATCCCCGCCGGCCGAAGACTCCCCGTGTAGTAAATGGTGACTGATGCACGTTAAATCTGTCGAGTTGTAAAGTCCTTCATGTTCACATAACAAATCAATACCTCTGGGGGTACTGATCCAGGAGTTTCCTTGTCTTCTGGATTGGTTCAAAATTACAAGGCTACGGAGTTGAACGTAAGTAGTCGTAAACCCATGAAATTGGGTCGGCTGTTCAACGACGGTTATAAAATAAAATAAAACAAAGCCTTTTTCGCTCCTGACCACCGCACCCAAATTTTTCAACGTCTGGTTTCTCGAGTTNCTCGCGAAATCTGAGTATGTTCTATTTTTATATATTTCGATTCCATAAACGCTTGCAAGATGTAAGATTAGGAGAACGCATTACGATTAACGTTAATGCTTTCAGTATTTTCTTTTCAAGTGTTAAGAAAATAAATTGTTCGAAGAAAAGAAAAAGAACTGTGAAGAAAACACTTCTTACCTTGTCAACAATGTACCAACTTCGATATTTAAACCTAAATGATAATTTGTAAAATGAACTTAATCTCGCTGCTCGAACAATATACATACACTAACGGCTTGCAAACAGAACAGTAATAAAAAACAAATTCATAATAATAACAATTAGGAAAAAAAAAATGTGATCGCCGAAAGGCGAAATGGTTGTTGTCTAATTCTTTTATTTTTTTATTTACCCTCTTTATTTGTGATATTCACCTGAATTAGTATTGAAAACGATCCAGTTTCAACTGTAGGTTAGAATTTCTGATTCTTAATTAAAACTATAAAAACAAAAATATCGTTCAAATGATGAAATTCTCTTTTATTCACAACTCGAGAAGTATTTATGGGATCTCTCTGGTCCCATATCTCATAAATAAACTCACTCACTTAATGCATAACAAAATTAAAAGTGAAAAAAAGAATTCTAAAAAAATTATCAAACAGCAGCGGTCGCCATAGCAACGTATGCAATAACGACGCATGCGCACTGTTTACTATATCTCTGAAACACAGTTGAAAAGTGTGATGACGTCCAAATAAAGTGTGCACGACATCAAACCCAAAACAATACCCAACCCGGTTCGCCTCATTGGAAGGCGAACGCTCTATTCCCTGAGCCATCGCAGTTCAATGTGTATTTATTGAAACATATCCAATTTAAGAAATTTTTATCTGATATTTTTTTTTTTTTTTTCCANTTTTTTTTTTTTTTTTTTTTTTTTTTTTTTTTTTGTCATTCACCTGAAAGAGCAAAAGGTAGGTACTTTAAACGCAGCTATTGATATTATATATACTAAATTTTTCCTACTTATGCAATATACCAGGGGTAGGCAACGCGGCGCCCGCGGGCGCCATGGCGCCCCCGATCGATTTTTAATGCGCCCTCGCTGGACTAATGTAAATGTATGATAGCCAGAGCGATTTACTTAACTCTTGTCAAACGGCGATATACAGCAAGTAGTCAGTTGAGTTTAGGATTGTGCATGATTATCTGTAAAATATGCGCCCTCGGTGATTTTCAAATTTAGTATTGCGCCCTTAAGGACAAACAGGTTGCCGACCCCTGCAATATACTATTCCATTTATATAAAAGTAATGGTATGATACTTTTTCTAATTGAATTTTGAACATCAGATTATCTTAAACAATAGGAAAAAATATCGGAGTTGCGTACTTTTAATTTTTTTGGACAATTCTTTATAGCAGGAGTGAGAAAAATGGCGTTTTCTTACAGAAATATTTTTTAAAAAAATTTAAGAAAGTGCTTGCAAATTATTTTAAGGATGGACAAATAAATACTTACTTTAAATCTATTTTTTTGTTAAAATAATATCGCTAATTCGTAGGTTGCTTTTTATGGTAGCAAAATACTAAATTGCTTTAGTTAAAAAATGTTTTCATAATGTAATATACTGGCGTAGGAGATTAATAGAATTTGCAGACTGGGTGTCGATTATCTCTAGAACTACTGGACCGATTTTAATGAAATTTGATGTGTGCATACATTGATACAATACAAAACAGATTCAACAATTGTAATACACACACATGATCATGTGTAACAGTCGTAGGAGTCGGAAGGTATGAAATTGCTAAAGGACAATTCAATCCAATTTTCACAGGAAACGATAAACTGCCTTATTTCAAGTATGAAATCACGCTGTAAGGCCTGTATATCTGTAAGAGAGGTCCCCTATTAACCCATTTCTTTGTTTATTCTGCAATGTTACGCACGATGATGCGTGTGTATTACAATTGGTGAATGGTTATTTGTATTGTTTCAATTGTATTATTATTTTGCATTGTATCAAAGTATGTATGTATCAAATTTCATTAAAATCGTTCCAGTAGTTCTAGAGATAATCGACCCAGTCTGCAAAGTCTCCTAATTTTTTAAACCAGTGTATTAATTGTCGTTTTCATTTTTTAAGGATGTTATCAGGTGTTTCTTTTTTGTGTGCTACATTAAGAATTTTCCCTTTTGTGTAGAGAAAATTAATTGCTCTTGTTAATTGTCGTCAGATAACGTTATGCTCCCAAAATTCCTTTAAATAATGCTTCAAAAGTTTCTTCTGTGGAATTCAAATTTGCAATTAAAAAAATTAGGGTTTTCTAAGTTGACTGACTTCAGAGGTCGATTTGAATGCATTTATTTTTATAACATTGAGCCAAAGCGTATTTTTTTTTTAGATGTTTTCCTAGTTTTTGAAAACACTGAATAAAAATTTCTTGAATTGGGTGATTAATTTCGAGGGATTGCACATCCAGTTGTTGTTTGCGCTCCAAACTTTTTTCCAGTACATCCAACGAATTTAATACGCATGATTCTTAAGCTTCAAAAGATGCAGGGCGTCACGAAAATACCGTTGTTAATATGTATTTCTAGAATCCTTATCAAAAATTAAGACGAAAAGAGCATTCATACTGTAGGTCACAAGTTAGTATTGAACCAAAGAAAATCGAAATTTCATATTCACAGTTGAGTATATGAAGCATCAAAATTTGTTTTAATTTATTTTATAACCGTCGTTGAATAGCCGACACAATTTTTCGGGTTTACGACTACTACTGTTCAACTCCGTAGACTTGTCATTTTGAACCCAATCCAGAAGACAAGGGAGCTCCTGGATGAAGTATTGGGAGACAATTGCCGTAGGAGGACTTTTTGATAGAACTAACCCACAATTGCGTAACATGGAGAGGAAAACCATAAAACCTTACCAGGTTTAGCCTCACGGCAAGGGCACTCTAACCCATGATCGTCTACCACTGAGGATATTTTAAGTCAGCACTGTTGTCGGTGCAAGCCTGATGCGGAATTCGTATCGACCAACCATCGCTGTGATTCGAACCCTGTTTACCTCATTGGAATCATCCTTAAACTCCTTTGTTTCCTCCCACACTCAAACGGGTTTTGGTGTTCCATATGCTCGCCCTACTTAATGGTTTTTTTTTCTTCATTTAAAATCCCCAAATTTATATATATTATCAATGAAATATATTTCATAGAAAAAACGAAGGTTCCAATATATTATTAAATGGTTCAATAAATAAGAAATTCCCCATAAGGATGACGGGAAAAATAGAATTTTATTGAAATATTTCCTAATTTGTTTCTGACGATGGTGTTCTATTTTCAGAAGTCATCATCATGAACCCCACTGGGATGCTCTACTGTGGGGGCTGAAGAAGAAAAAATGTTCTAGAATATTTTGCAAGCGCCAAAGATCACCGAAAGGATCCAAAAATGATTGGAATCTCTCAGGCAAAAGACAGAATCGAAAAATTCATCTTACTTCTCTTCCGACAGATGATGATGCCATCATCCCATTCTGAACTTAATGTTACATTAACTATACTTTGCGTTACGTTTAAGTTAACAGCAACCTTATTTTCCACTCTTTAGCGATACTGCGCATGCTCAGAAATAGTGTTTTGCATCTCACCAATAGCGTAGGAACGTTAATTTTAACTTACCCATGTAGCACAGACTCATCCAGTGGACATCATTGCAAACATCAACGAAGGTCCATGTGGTCACCCGGTGGACGTCCACTAGAAATCCATATTTGATCCAGTAGATGTCCTAAAGCCGTCCTTCAGATATTCACCGTAGCTTTTAAGTGGATTGCATATGGATGACTTGATCCATAGCTTATCTAAGCATGGACATGGTCTCATGGACAGATTTTATTCCTGATCTATTGGAGGACGTGTAACGAACATTCACTTTGTATTACGAACGATACAAAAAGAACTAAAATATTTTATCAACGATTGAAAATTTGACCAAGATGTGAACATACAGTAGGAATTGAAGAAAGAAAACAAAAATGTTCTTTTTTAAGAGGTTTGCAGTAGTCTAAATTCCATGTTATCTTTTAACTGTAACCACCTAGTAATTATTTGGTGGTTACCTTTTTATCTTAGCCATTTTGGAAACCAAAAGACGGACGCGCCAGAAAAGGTGATGTACTCAAGGAGAAAACTTTCAAAGTTCTTTTTATTTTTATAAAAAAAAATCAAAAAGAAGAATATTAAAGATCGTTGAACAATGATATAGAAACATTGTACATAAAAATATGTAGGCATGAAGTAAAGGATAGATTTTTGTGATGTATGGCTGATTAAAGTCAAGCAATTTTATAAAACAACGCGATATATCCTATAATTTTATGTGTTTTTCATTCGAAATGTTTTAGCTGTAGCCACAATGTGTATTTAGCTAAATATGTTGTTGTGTTTATTTACTGGAAAAAAATGTGTAGAATTGTTATAACTTACCATTCTATTGAAATAGGATGCAATTATAAATTGTATCAACACATTTATAACAACCGTGGTTGTAAACTGGTATCTATACACTTTTTTTAAGCAACTCTTATCATCCCACTCATTATATACAAATCTTAATTTATTAAATCATTTATCTTGCTACGATTACTTGTAAATAAATTTTGAAAAATATATTTTTGTTTCTATTCATTGTCTATTCATACTCCAGCATATTTAAAACAGTTGAACGAAAAATCTATCGTCAAAAGAATAAGAATTGCTCACAGTTTGTAACAGTTATAATTCGTGACTGTTAGGTTGTCCATATAAAAATGCCAGTAGCAAAAAAAAACCCCACAAATTTTATGATCTAATTCTACGTAGTTTTTTGCCTCGTAAAAATTTGAATATATTTATAATCATTATTTCACTTTAATGATTGTCATCAAGTTGAAGAGTTTAAATTTTTTAAAAATATTTTAATCTCTATCAGGGTGCGTAGCCAAACCTTTCAACAAAAAATAAGCCATTAGCAAAATAATTTTCAAAGTCTTTAGATGAATAAGAAAATAAACAAGTTTCTGACAAAGAACTCTTTTTCTTGATTATATTAGTCGTTATAAAATGATCGAGAGATGGAAAATGAAGCCTGAAATTGAGAATATCTTGCAAAATTCAGCAGAGTTGCACATGAGAATGCAATGATCTCACCGAACCCAGCTCAGTAGACGCACATGCGGACTCCCAAGTATTTTATCAAACATCAACATGCAAAATGATTGGCTCTTTCATACGCTACGGGCCAACGGTACGTCGAAATGGATTGTGGTTTAATGAATTATGAAAACCTTGAATAGAACAATGTGAAAAGCACACTTTTGAATAATCCATGGCGAAAACCGACACGGTAGAGAAAAAAAAAATCTTATTTTTGAAAAGGGAAAATGAAGCACTTTTTAAAATCACCCAATGAAAAAAGCACCTTCAAGGGCTTTAAAAAAAACGAAAATAAGCACTTTTTAAAAACGCTACGCACCATGCATATAGACTTAATATATAATCATTCTATGGTCTCCAAAACGGTGGAAACAGCAGATGATTCCATTCATATGCACTTCTTATGATATTTGTTTTTATATTTTAATAATATTATTAGTATAACTTATAATTGAATTTTAGAACATCAGATTCCTTTAAACACAAAAATTTAAGAGAAAAACTATCAGTGTTACGCAATTATCATTTTTCGGACAATTCTATAATTCACGAGTGAGAAAATAGCATTTTACTACAGAAATATTTCCTAAAAACATAAGAAATTACTTTATTGATTGATAAATAAGTAATTTATTTCTTTAAAATAATAGTTTCGTACGTTATACTTTTTTGTAAACACTAAATTGCTCTCTCTAAAATCTACTTTAAGAATATTGTTGCGTCCTCTCTTGTATTTATATGTATACATCTTGGGAGACAATTTAGGAATTATAGTTTTGCATTAGCTCCGTTAACATCGTAAATGACGAAATATTTAAGAGAAAAACAATACTTTATATTGCTAGACAGACCCTTGACGAAATTTCACAACATAAAAATGATCGCACAAAATTGTTTCATGGATCATTGTCACGAAAAAACGACGTGATTTTACGACATCATCGTCCCGAATTAAACGCGTTAAAACAGAAATTCGTGTGTCGTAATATAGCATGTTAAAAATACTGGAGATTGGAAAACTTTGTGGAAAGGCTGAAAAAGAAAACGACGAATGACAAACGAAAAAGTCATCATCCAAACAACGTGAAGTTAAGATGGAATTATCATCGCGAACCGAACGCGTCAAAGAGTTATTACTCAAATTCGAACGTCGTCGTCAGAATTAGTAAAACCAAATGAAAAGGGCTGAAATAATAATAACTGTAGAAAAAGCTATCATCAAACCACGTTAAATTACAATGAAATTGTCACAAATCACACGGGTCAAAACAAGAATAACTCAAAATTCGATTGTACTTAAAGTATAAAAAATTAGTAGAAAATTCATCGTATTAAAAATATCGGAATTAGAAAAACCACGTTGAAGGGGAGATGAAATTAAATGCAGATCAACTATCATCGTAAAAATTATGATGTAATTAAATTCGAATCGAACACTTCGAATGTCATAACTACGTATTAAATTTATAAGAATTGATTTGAAAAACCATAAGAAGGCGAAAAATTACCAAAAATCAAGCAAGCTTATAAAAAAAAACATATATATAAATAAATAAATAAAAAAAAGAAGATTAGAGTAAAAAATAGTAATTGTTATAACTTTTTATTAAAATTTTCAGGAAAATAATTTCTATTTTTTACAAAAAGGGACTCTAAAAATAAAACCTGGATTGAACCCAGAGTATCGCATTGCAATTTCCTAGTGGAACAGCATTCTCCATGCTTCCGGCTAGTTATTAAAAAAAGTATAATTAAATTCATTGATCAAGCTTTGGTGTTAAGGAAATTAAGAATAAAAAAAATTTATACAATACTATAAAACATTATTTATCAATTTCTTAATCAAAAATAAAAATAGTAAGTCATAAAACCATGGTATATTCCATGCTCCAGGACAACGTAACAGACAATCAATTTCTTCCCTCGGGAGAAAAAGTTTCTTAGTAATTGTGAGTGGCAAGGAAAGAAAGAGCAAGAAACTTACGTCAATCGTTCTTATTTTGTGTAAGACTTTTTTTCTATTACAGTTTTTCCGTTCTTTAGAGGAAAAAAAATGAAGAATCAAAATCTTCCCAGGACTGCATGAATTTCCTTCAAATCTCGTTTCTGTGTTCAGATATAGAGAGGGTGCGTAGCCAGAAAAAAATCATAATTAGGATCTGTGCCGTAATAAAATTTATTATTTTTTAATCGCTTAAAGTTCTTAATTTATGAACATAAAATCAATAAAATTTAAAAACATTTTCACAAACTTTACATAATCATGCATTTTTGTAATTTAGAATAACAATCAACATGACAAAGAAAAAATCTTTTTTTAAAAGATAGAAAATTAAGTGCTTTTTACAAACCTCAAATAAACGAAGAACCTTTAAGGGCTTTTAAAAATGTCAATAAAAAAATAAGCACCTTTAAGCACTTTTTTAAAAACGCTATGCACCCTGACATATTTTGTATCCCTACTGCAGAGTAATACTGATTAGGGTTAAATACATGCTAATATAGTAATGATTAAAACAAACAACAAGTATCTGCTTTTTAATTTAATTAAAAAAAAGCAAAATAGTTTTACATCTGATTAGGTACGATTTATGAAAATTATATCACATGTGATAAAAGTATGATGATCAACCACACTAATTATAAATAATTCACACATAACAATTCACAGATATGCAAAGCTATTGTGCTAAGTAGCAATAATAAGAGCATTTTCTTTTTTTTTTTTTTGAAGATCACAATTCAACAAAGTCGGAAGAAAAAAACAATGCAATGGTGAATGAATGGCAGTTTTGTGACAGGTTTTAAAAGAAAAATTTTTTATTTTCCCTATTCAAACTAGTCTATAAGTTATGAAAGAACAGACTGTACATTAAAAATTTCAATAAATACATGTAGTAAAAATACTAACCCTAAATCTCCAATTTCCCCCCTGCTCCAATAAATTATGAACATTAAAAATTCATCAATAAACAAAAAAATTAAAGCTTAATGAATACACGTGAATGAACAACAAGCATTAAATTCAAAAAAACATTTAAAAAAAAAATTAAAAACATAAACAACTAAATTCACATAAAAATAATAAAAAATCTTCGCAGCATAATGGTCGATAAAATAAAAAAATATTGCAAGATATGATTTTTTATACATAAATTATCTACATTTATAAATGCCTTTTTCCTTTTTCTTCTCTAAAATGAAAAATATACAATGATTTTGAATTTATTTTTCTTGCGTGATATATGACACTATATCAGTGACCTCGGTCAGTTCGTCCTCGGGGTTCCTACCCTGAAGCAGAGAGTCGATCATGAAACCTCCGTTGGGTTGCGGCACCGGAGTCGCTACATATGGATTCGGGACATAGGGTGGACCTTGTTCGGGAGCCACGTAGTTCGGTTGGTAGGGAGGCCTCGGAATGCGTTCTTCACCCCCATAGTATTGATGACTTTGATAATATTCTGGTGACCTGGGTGGAGCGTAAGAGTCAGAATATTGAGAATGGAACCTAGGGGGTGTGCCAGGATCTCTTTGCACTTGGGGGGATGATCTTTGGGTGTAAGAATTAGGCGATTGGGGGCAAGGGTATGGTTCGGGAGGAAATCTAATTTCTCCCTGGTAACTGTCTGAGGAGGGGTGGACTGGTCGGGGCACGACTTCAGGCTCCATGGCAGAGCTGCCATAGAAGTGCTTCTTTTTCCTACCTTCAGAATAATCTAAATTTACGAAGCCCCTGGGACTGTTTGATCTAGAATAGTTATCTAAAGATGTGAACTTTGATGGGTTGTCGAGGGGCGTCAACTGCTTTGATGTGGTGTCTAGCGGGGTTAATTTAGATGGACTGGAGTTATTGGAGTAAGTTTCGACGAGGGATGGTTTGAGGGGGCTCGGGCGAGATGAAAATTCCGCAAAAGGTGCCAATGAAGAATAAGAAGGAGGAAAACTCTTTTCCTCCGGAGCAGTGTAAGGAAATACTTTAGCGGGAATATATTCCTGATCAAACACTCTGGGTTTGTTGACCACCGACGGAGGCACACTCGTAGGTATTCTTTCAAGGGGAACGGAGTCCTCACTTTCTTCGTCCATATTACTGAAAGGTTCCATTATGGTGCTGGCAAACGGTCGGCTTTCCGATCCAGGTTGACTCACCACGTTTTTAGAACCACTAGGTGGTACGGAAGATGGTTGAAGAGAAACAGATGCAGAAGCTGGAAGAGATTTAGCAAATGGTAACTTCGAAGAATCTTTCTCTTTAGGAATTTCTTTATCACTTTCTTCGTCGGGTGTGGTTGCATGTCCACTTTTAGGAGATTTCACATACGGTATAACACAAGGCACCATTTTTGTTGCATCTTTTTTAATTGTCCTAATCGCGGGCTTTTCCCGAGCAACAGCAGTGGGGACTTTAGTTGCATCGACTGCAGTTTCAATCTGAGTTGGAACTTTAGCGATGGATGGAGGGTCAGGTTTCTTCACTAACTCAGCTTTAGGTGGTTCTTTTACGAATGGGGGCTTGCTTTCGGGCGCTGATTTGGGTTTCGCAGCTTCTTCCTCGGATTCGTCGTCCTCGCCTCCTTCCTCCTCGCCGGATGAACTTTCTTCCTCCTCTTCATCTTCCTCCATTTCCTCTTCCTCCTCCTCTTCTTCTTCCTCTTCACTTTCTTCTTCTTCTTCGTCAGATTCGACTTTATTCGATTTCTTTTTGGGAGCAGATTCCTGAGAAGAGGATTCTTCTTCACTTTCACTGCTCAAAACTTTTTTGTTTATATTGATTTTGAGACGACTTCCCTCGTAGCTCTTTTTAATTTTCCATTCATCTTCAGAACCTCCCTGGCTGGTGTCGCTCCCTTTGAAACTGACGTTTTCGGACTCCGATGACTCAGAGCTAGCCCATTTACGAACACGGGATTTCCTCTTCGCTGGTTTCTTTTTGAACGACGATTCACTATCTTCTTCAGATGTAGAAGTCTTCTTTCGTTTCTTAGGCCTAGAATAAGAATAAATTAAAACCACAAATAGTTATATTAACATAAATTGTAGTGGACGTTTAAAGTGCAAAATAGTTAACTAAATGTTTCTTAAAATGGAGGGCATACAAGGCAAATTGGACAATACTAAAATGCTGCCTGATATAATTATTAAATTTCTTGCATTCTCTATCGAAGCATACCAACCGACATTGGACCAATACACAACCAATAGTAATTATTCACATTCCAATGAATTTTTTTCCATTATTGCTTTGCGAAAAGGTAGCGTGCATGCTTTTTGTTTTGATTGAGTTTGCTATATTTTCATTGCTCTCGGAGGAGATAATGATTTTTTGAGGCAAATAAATGAGCTAAAGCACAAAGAGGACTACTATTTCAGGGCTAGCAGCTATTTTTTTTTTTTTTTTAAGAAAAAAAAAAACAATTCTGAATTTGAGTTTTTTCCTTATTTGCTTAACATCATTTTTATATTTAATTAAATTTCTATACATTTGTAATATAACTTATGGAATTTATCTAATTTAAAATAAATTGGTTCTGCGATTAGCTTATATTTTAAAATTTATAAGTGTCCAAGATTTTTCCATAATATTTTAATAAGACAATGATATTTGATTTTGAAAAAAAAAATCTAATTTCAGGAATAAAAACCAGTATATATTTTCCCACTATTTTATGTGTTCTTGTTGTTGATTATACATGTATAAAAATAATAATAAACACATTTAATGAATGCTTATTTTAAATATTATATTTCAATTTTATGTTAAGACTTTTTTTTACAACAACATACTTGATTAAAAGTTAAGATTCCCTTCCCCAATTTGTTCTTTTTTGTTTCTTAAAATATCTTGCATTCCTTTATTTATATAATTGATTAATTAAAATATTTCATTATAAGTGTTAAATGTGTCACATATCATACTTATATTTCATCCCTTCTAAATTCTTGCTAAGGAAACTTCTGAATTGTAATTTTTCCAGTTTGGCATGTCTGTGTATACAATCTAATTATATATTACAGGTAGTAAGCCCATTTCAAATTTTACTTACACATTTTCAAACATCATGATAAAAACCTTCAGAAATGGCAATATTTTAACACATAAAACTTTTGTTTTGTATGCAAACAAGTGAGAAAGTACATATAGAGAGTATATAAAACACCCAGCCAGGTCAAGACTGACCACAACTGCTGAGGAAAAATAATTGTGGCTTGATTACATCTACTTGAACAATAGAGAAAAAAAGTTTGATATCAGAAAATTACTATATATATTCCAGTTATACACTAAATTAACAAGTTTCTTTTTATACACATAGTAAAGAAAAACTAAAGAAATAAAAGTGCTCATATTGTTCTTCAAAAGATTATTTAACCTCAAAAAGTAAATGTTTTTAAAAAAAGCATCAAGTTAATGAATTCTTCCTGTATAATTTATTAATAGGCCATATTAATAAATTTTGGTTGATACTATGCGAGTAGAAAAGGTAGAAACCGGTAAAAACTTCAGGATTCATTGAATTAAATCAGCCTGATTTTAATCAAAGTATCCTTTTTTAAAGAAATTATTCATCCAAGCAAAAGAGCAGGTATTGCTCTAAATCAATTTTAAAAGCAGAAATGTGGTTTGAAACATATTATGATTTAATTTTTAATAATATTTTAAACATTTACTTTATAATATTTCATTATTAACTAAAGCTCTTAAGATGAATTTAATTTTTTTTTAATATTAATAAAAAAATCCCAAACTTTTCTAAAGGGAAATTGCAGTGAGGTGAAACTGAATTTCCAATAAGTTAAATAGCACCATTTTTATAACTTTCTCAAAGTACATAATGTAATTCTCTTTCGATGAATTTAGTTTAGCTAAAAATGAAACTACAAAACCTTACAAATTAATGCTTAAGTGAGAAAATAAAAATTTCACTTGCTGAATGAAAAGCTAAGTAGAAGAAGCAAGTAAGTGACATTTCAGTGAATTTGGGTAAAACTTATTTATCAAGTTGTGAGTAGCCAAATCTTTCAACAAAAAAATAAGCACCTTTCAAGTACTTTTCAAGCACTCAAAAAATATTTTTAAGCACTATATACATGAGCGAAAAGCAAAATAATTTCCAAAGACTTTACATGATCATGATAAAATAATTAGTTTCCGACAATCAATAAACTCTTTTTTTGATTATATTAGCCACCATAAAAAGATGCAAGATTTTTCAGTTTGATTTCAGAGGGCGGAAAATGAAGCCAGAAATTGAGAGTATCTTGCAAAATGCAGCCGAGTTGCCCACGAGAGTGCAACAATCTCATCGAACGCAGCTCAGTAGAACGCACAAGTGAACTTCCGAAGTATTTCATCAAACATGTAACGTGATTGGAGGCATCATATGCTACGGACCGACGGTACACCGAAATGGATTGTGGTCGAATAAATTGCTTAATCGTTGAACAGAACAATGTGAAAACCGCACTTTTGCACGACACGAGGCGAAAATCGACATGATAAAGAAAAAAAACTCATTTTGGAAAAGAGAAAATTAAGTTCCATTTTAAAACACCCAATGAAAAAGGCACCTTTAAGGGCTTTTAAAAATCGAAAATAAGCACTTTTTAAAAACACTATGCACTATGTTTATATATACTGACAAGAATACATATTTTTAGATATAAATACTTTCTGACAGTAAGTACAAAGTCAAGATACATTAAAAGCATTTCTTATCTGAATATACAGATACAATTTTTGTTCGCATAGCTTACAATTACTGTTTATTTTCTTCCTTTTCTTGGTAGTAATTAGTATATGACATGCTTTTATAATAAATTGAAAATAAATTTTTCGGCTTCAGAAAGATTTTGTTTTTGCTTTCCCTATTTAAAATCTCTAAAAGCAAGACACTTTAACTAAATTACTTTTACTATATTGTCTTAACTGAATAATTTTTTAAAAAAAAGGTGCTTCAAATGATCGAAAACCTGCTTGAAAGTATAATTAGGGGTCAATACGAAAATATATAAAAACTGAAAATTCTGAAAAGGAAAAGTTACAAACCTATAACTTTAAATGAAATAACAGTTTTTTTAAAAATCTAGTCTATAATAGGGGGTGCTTAGCCAGATTTTTCAACAAAAAATAAGCACCTTTTAAGCACTCAAAAAATATTTTTAATCACTTTCCAAAAAAAAAAAAGTCATAATTAGTATCTGGGCAGTAATAAAATTTATTTATTTCTACTGTTTAAAGTTCATAATTTATAGATCAATAAAATTCAAACACATTTTTGCATAATCATGATAAAAATAACTAGTTTCTGATAAATATTGCAGAGAAAATTGTAAAAATCACGAACTTTATGAAATTTAGAGTGACAATCAATGCGGCAAAGAAATAATCCCTTTTTAAGAGATTGAAAATTGAGCACTTTTTACAAACCCCGAATAAAATAAAAAGCACTTATAAGGGCTTTTAAAAAATGCAAATAAAAAAAATAAGCACCTTTAAGCACTTCGTAAAAACGCCGTGTTACATTTATGTGACAAGTACAAAATAAGCAATAAAAAAACGAAGGGACATTTTTAAAATGGAGAAAGCAAGAGATAGGGAAATATCCCGTAATTTAAGGGGGAAATAAAGCACAGCTGGCAGGTATGCAAAATCAAAGAATTGTTTTCACAGCATCTAATATACAAAAGCATTTTATCACTAGGTTGTTTTTAGTTATATGAATTTAATTGTGTAGCTGGCTTAAAATTATGAGTAGAAAATGATTATGTAAATAAGCTTACAATTTAGCCTTGGGTGCGTTCCATTCACCATCGTCATCAGATGATATCTCTCTGTAGCTGATGGCCTTCTGGGCAGCCCTACGTGTCACCGGTCTGTAAGTGTCACTTTCATTCTCTTCCCAGTCCTCTTCTACAAACACATTATTTACAATCAGAGAGACAAATAAAGTAATTGAAAGGTAGTCACTGGTCAAAGTGACCAATAACTTAAAGAACGCACTAGTCCATGAAATAATGGAGATTTTATTAGCAATTTTTTTTTTAATGCTACGAGTCAAGTTTAGATACGTCATGCATAATCACGTAAGTCAAAAAAGAGAAATTCACAATTGGAAATAATATAAGCACTTACATTTAACAAAAAATATGTATATAAATCTTAATCCAAAGATTTTTTTGAACTTTTATCTATAACTACTTAAACTATAAACAATCAACATACTGCAGTACTGGCAATAGTATTTTACCGCCAAAAATTTTTCTTTTACATTTTTTCAACAAATATGGAGAAATTTGAGAATATACGGGTAAACAGAAAACAGCCGTAAAATACAGGAATCTTCGTTTAAAAAATCAGGAGACTTGGTAGGTATGCAGTCCATTCTAATCGAGAATGGAATGTAATAAATCAAGATTTTTTTTATTTTTTTTAAATAATGCCAATATGAATTACACATATGATTTTTAAATCGCATTACAATGTGCAATTTTTTTAATTTCGCCAAATACTAATCACAATATTTGAATCATGCGAAGATAAATCATGTCATATGGTTTTTAAATATTGTGATTAAATCATACGAATTTGGATTCACATCCGGAGATGCTTTAAAAAGTCACATGAATGCGGATCATGGTGTGTGGCTTTTTAAATGTCACAAATAGGGATCGCATTGAAACGGGTTGATGTGAGATTTTGTTTTAATTGCAGGAATGCTGATTACGATATTAGATTTTACATCGCGCCAATATGAATAGCATTAATACAGATTGATGTGAGATTTTTTTTAAATCACAGGAATGCTGATTAGGATGTTAGATTTTACATCGTCCGAATACGGATTTAAATTTTTAAATAATTATTTAATAACATAATTATGATAGATAATTTTTTAATCATACAAATACGGATCGTGACTCATAACTTTTAAATCATGTTAATACAAATCACGATGCGTGATTTTGTTTTAACTGCACAAATAGGGATCGCAATGTGTAAATTTCAAATCGCACAAATATAAAATGAGATTTCTAATTTTTAAATTGTACAAATATAGATCGTGATGTGTAATTTTTAAATCATGTGAATACAAATCCCGATGTATGATTTTTAAATTGCACAAATACTGATCGTGAGGTGTTACTTTTAAATCTCAAAAACTCATATCATGATAAGAGATTTTTAAATTGTACAAATGCGGATCTCGATGTGTGATTTGTAAATCGTGTAAATACAAACCATGAAGTGTAAATTTTAAATCGTACGAATACAGACCATACAGAGTTCTTAAATTGTACTGATATGGATTGTATTGGATAATTTTTAAATCATGCAAATACTCATCAAAATGCATGGTTTTTAAATTGCACAAATACTGAACATGATGTGCAATTTTTAAATCATACAAATGCACATCGTGATAAGGGATTTTTAAATCGTACAAATGTGGATCTCGATGTGTTTATGAAATCATGTAAATACAAATCACAATGGGTAAATTTTAAATCGCACAAATACAGATCATATGTGAGTTTTTAAATCGCACAAAGACAGATCATATGTGAGTGTTTAAATCACACAAATACAGATCATATGCGAGTTTTTAAATCGCACAAATACAGATCATATGTGAGTTTTTAAATCGCACAAATACAGATCATATGGGAGTTTTTAAATCGTACTGACATAGATTGCGTTGTGTAATTTCCAAATCATGCAAATACGCATCCCAATGTATGGTTTTTAAATCGCACAAATACAGAACATGATGGGTAATTTTTAAATCACACAAATGCATATTGTGATAAGGGATCAACTACTCAATGTGGACCAGCCAACCCAGTAGGCGTGCTAAATAGAAGTGTGAGTTTCTGTGAAAGTTCATATCACGTCATAGTCACCAATGTAGGGCAAGTGAAATCAACAGTCATCTATTAAAAGGTACACCTACATAGAATTGAGTTAACATGTCTATTACATTTTATTTTATAACCATCGTTAAACAGCCAACCCAATTTTGTGTTTATGACTACTATATATAGTAGTGCATTTTATTTTTGTAGTGGAAGATGCACTACAAATTGTATAATTTATCTACATAGGAATGTTAAACATACCAGAGCTGTATCCTCCTCTCCTTCCACGCCTTGGTTTCCTCCTCTGTTTCTTTCCTCGTGTCTTCACTATCCTCCATTCTCCGGAAGCCGCACTCTCTGCCCCAGACTCATTGGTGGAGGGGGGAGGTGTATGTTCAGAGTCAGTGCTTCAAATAATTAATAATAAGGAGAATTAAATATCATGTCTGAAATGAAGAACTTTTGATCTTCATGTACTAGGACTCAATCTTAATTGTTTAAAGAGGTGACTTCATGTATGCTAATTAATACGTGCAGACCATATTTTAAGTTATGAAATAAAACACAAAATATACTTTTTCTCTCTCGCTGGATTTGAATTGTCAACACTTAAAATAGGGTGGCCCTTTTTCGTCACAGGATGCTTAGCTAAATCTTTCAACAAAAAATAAGCACTTAAAAATATTTTGAAGCACTATAAACATTAACAAAATGCAAAATAATTTTCAAAGACTTCACATGATCATGATAAAATAATTAGTTTCCGACAAAGAACTCTTTTCTTGATTAAAATTAGCCATTATAAAATGATTGAGAGATTTTTCGGATCGATATCAGAGGCTGGAAATGAAGCCTGAAATTGAGAATACCTTGCAAAATGCAGCAGAGTTGCGCATGAGAGTGCAATAATCTCACCAAACCCTGCTCAGTAGACGCGGACTCGCATGTATTTCATTAAAAATGTAAAATGATTGGCGTTTTCATATGCTATGGACTGATGATACATTAAAATAGATTGTGGTCGAATGAATTGCGAAAATGTTGAATAGAACAATGTGAAAAGCATATTTTTGCATAATACATGGCGAAAATCGACACGGTAAAGAAAAAAAAATTTCTTTTCGAAAAGGGAAAATTAAGTACTCTTTAAAAACACTCAATGAAAAAAAAATCGAAAATGAGCACCTTCAAGCACTTTTTAAAAACACTACACACCATGGCATCTTTCCATAATAATGGCACATGTATGAAATCAATGATTTAATTTTTTTCGTTTTTATTGTTTTTTATTTTATTTTTCACTGCAAACACAACAAAAAAAATAGTTAACCTAGTAGATCCTTATGCACTAATCACTGAATAATAAACCATAAATTTTTTCATGATTTTATTATGTCTACTTTTCTTGGATCATCATTATTTATTTCTTATCGTATCGCTATAATTTAAAAAAATAATAATAATCTTAATTTTGTTTAGCATTTTAAAATGTTATGGAAAAATGAAAACAAATTCAGATACAACAATAGTACAAATTTTGCTCAAGCAAACAAGTTCAATCACAATCCCAGTGATCAAGTAATGATGAGGCGCGACATCATTACTAGATCACTTTGCAATGAAAAATAACAATCTTTTCATTAAAATATAATATTTGTTATAAAATTAACATTTTTAAGGAAAACAGTTTATTTTAATTTAAAGAAAAACTGGAAAAGAGATTAATTGATGAAATTTAATCTCATTATTTTTTCTCAATACTGATTTCACACTGAAGAGTGGCACCCTTGCATATTTTAAGTTATGAAATAAAACACAAAACATAATTTTTTTCAACTAAACATAATTTTTGTTGTTGATGGATTTGAATTTTTGACACTTAAAATATGGAGGCCATTTTCCTCTATCAGGAAAATAGAGTTCCAATAAGAGTTCAAAATAAGTGGTCATTAATTGTAATTTGTACCTGAACATTTGAATTTTATGCCTAGAAAATTACACCCAGTTGTCATTTCTGATGCTTAAATAAAATACCTTTGCTCCTACAATTCAACTCTGGGCGATGCTATACAATGGATGGGAAATTTCACATTGTTTCACAGAGGCTTTTCTAAAAGTTATTTATAATTTTTTAAGGTTTCTTTCATATAATTTTTCCAATTCCAATATTTTTAAGCAATGGATCCCTGTGGCAGAATTTCTTCGAACCACCTGCGACAAAACTCTCTAGCACTAAAATCTTTCTGCAAGATACTTTTAATAATAACAATGTTACTAATTTAAAATAACAAAAGCGCTGTATTGACAAAACAAAAAAAAAACTATAAATACTTCTTTTCATTAAACATGTAATAATTTTTAATTCTATTATAGATGATATGCATGCATTTTGTTGGGGCGAAAAACACATTAATTATTACCTTCTCCACATTTTGTAAATAACCATCTCAGTAAAAATACGATTAAAAATTATGAAATTCTTATTAGTAATTGCCAAAAAAAAAAAAGATCGACAACAAAATCCCGCGAATTGGACTCCACAAAAAGGGGTTAATCAAATGCACATTTCGTTTTGAGATTAGGTTGATGTAATAAATAACACTGTATAAAAAATATCGGATTTAAAACCTATGGAGAAATCAAGAGCAATAACAGCCAAAAAATTTTATAGAATCATTGCCTTAAAAAGTAAATACTCAAATGCCCGATTCAAATTTTTCACATTGTTTGAAACATATCGGATATTTAAAAACCATCTGAAAATCAATATCAATAACTGCCAAAAATACAATCGAAACATTATATCGATTCAAGATACTATTGTGGTAAATTGACCGTGAAAAAAGGGATTATCTAAATGCATTATTGAAATTTTAGAAGAAAAGAAAAATCTTTCTACAAGAACTCTGTATCGTTCTGCAACAATGTCACCATGATTTTGCCATGGAGCAATGGATATGATCACCTTATTAAGACTATCAAATTTGAATTATCATTTTTTGATAACTTTGATAGTTTTTTCAGTAAATAATTTTTTTTTCAGCAACGAATTATAGTTTTTTCAGCAAATATTTATAATTTTTTCGGCCTTTTTCACAGGTTTTTCGAAGTCTCATCATAGTGGTGCAGAATTCACATCTAAGAGACATCTCTGGGATTCAAACTCAGGGCACCTCATTCTGAGGCGAGTGCTCTACACCCTGAGCCCCCAAGACTCTATAAAAAAATAATTTAAACTGTTCCCATTTAAGGACAACTACTTCAATGATATGGAGTGTGTTAAACTCCAATAGCTCCAGATCAGAGAACTTACTCAGTAATTAATAGAGTAAAAGCAGCAATTAGAAATAATGTTAATTAGGCAAAGGTAGGTACTTATTTATGTCACACTAGAGCAGCACAATGGCAGCGGTCTGGGAAACATCCTCGAGGATGATCCGAAGACATGCCATCACAATCTTGATGCTCAGCAGAGGGGATGGCTCTCCTGCTTTGGTCGAAGTCCAACTCTGATGCTTTGTGCAAAGTCCAACGCATTAAGGTAGAACAGTTTAATGAGAACCAATACCGCACACCCTCGGTCCCTACACAGGCTGATCAAAGTGGTCACCCAACCGATTATTGACCGCAGCCAGTGATGCTTGACTTTGGTGTTCTACTCAGGGTGCGTAATGAGATTTTTCAACAAAAAATAAGCACCCTTTAAATGTTTTTTAAGCACCCAAGAAATATTTTTAATCACTTTCCAAAAAAAAAGAAAATTATAATTAGGATCTGAGCTGAAATGAAATTTTTTTTCTATAGTTCAAATCTCTTAATTTATTATCAATAAAATTCAAAACTTTACATAATCATGATAAAATAACTAGTTTCTGATAAATATTGCAGAGAAAATTGTGAAAATCACCCATTTTTTGTAATTTAGAAAGACAATCGATACGGCAAAAAAAAAAATATTTTTTTTTTTAAATATAGAAAATGGAACACTTTTGACAAATCCTGAAAAAAAAATGCACCTTTTAGAGCAGGGGTTTCCAATTTACATGAGGCTGGAGGCCACAGTTAAAAACACCAGTCAAATGGCGGGCCACAACTTTATCAAAATTTTATATAGGACTCCTTTATGTTTGAAGGAGCATTAAATATTACTGTCAGATATTTATCAAGTTGTACAAAACAAACATATTGAATTACAAATTAAAATTAATAGTATATTATTAAGCAACATATACGATTATTTTTGTATTTGAATAAATATTTTCTTGGAAGCAAAACCTGATAAAAAAAAATTTTATGCCGTTGGTATGTTAAACTCATCTAGATTTCTTATGAAAATTGTCCGCAAAAAATGACAACTAATATTTCAGTTCACGGGCCGGATGCGGCCCGAGGGCCACCAGTTGGCAACCACTGTTTTAGAGCTTTTATAAAACATAAATCAAAATAAGCACATTTAAGCAATTTTTAAAAACGCTACGCACCCTGTCTACTTGGAACCGCGTCTTTACGATCAAATTAGAATAAAGATCCTCAGAATTAGAACAAAGATCCTCAGAATTAGGATAAAAATAATAAAATAGATTACGCATGATTATTCACCTTTGTCCTTTGTATTCTTCCCCACTGTCATCCTCATCATCAGAGAAGTCCAAATCATTCAATTTTCTACTTCTCTTCTTCCTTCTCGATCTCACACCAGCTTTGAAAGATTTCTCACTTTCAGCATCGTCTTCACCTTTAGGGGAGTCTTTGAACTCTTCGTCCACTAAAAAGAAAACACATCGCCGTCTTAAAATCAAGTTTAAAGGAAATCTACAGCTTCAATCCGAGATTGAAAGAATTTGAAAAATTAAAAAAGACAAAATTATCTTAAAGGAAGGACTATTTGTTTGGTGGGCCCCTGCAACAATTTTTTTCGGGTTATCTGTGACAAAACTCTCCAACACTAATATCTTTCCACAAGATACTTTCAATGATAACAAATATGTATCATTGAAATGGCTACAAAAGTAAAAAACTAATTTAAGGCTCAAAAAGGCTGTATTTAAAAAATAAATAAATATGTAATATATATATTTATTCCAATACTATGTGCGATATACTCGCATTTTATTGGGGGGGGGGGCCGCACTAATTATTTCCTTTATCGCATTTTACAAATCTTCATCATCTTAAAAAAATAATTAAATATCATGAAACCTACAGCAGTAATTAACGAAAAACAAATCGACGCCGAAATCACTTGAATCGTACTCTGCAGAAAGGGCTTACTCAAATGCCAGTTTCATTTCAAGATTTGATTGCTGTAATAAATTACATAGTATAAAAAAATATCGTGTTTTAAAAACTATGTGGAAAACAAAAGCAATAACTGTCAAAAAAACTGATAGAATCACTACCTTAAAAAGTAAATGATCAAATGCGCAATTTAAATTTCCCACATCGACTGAAATATATCTGAATATCTAAAAGTCATGTGAAAATCAGTTTCAATAACTGTCGAAAAAACAATCAAAATAGATTTACGATATTGGCATGAATTGAGAGTTTCAAAAAATGATTATTTAAACGTGCGATTCAATTGTACGTGTAAATTTTTAAAGAAAAACAGACCAAAATTTTTTAACTTCCCAAAAGCAAAATATTTCTGCAAGAGCTCTGTCAAGTTCTGCGACAATGTCGCCGTGATTCTGCCACGGGGTGGTTGGCTATTAATTTAGACAGGGTTTGTTCTTAAGAGAAAAGAAGGTAAAGAAACTATACCTCTGAGAATCTGACGTTATCAACATACAATTCTTTCTGAAATATCCATAACATAAGAATGTTTTAAGTCCATAAAAAAATTAAGAATAGAACTGAAACATTTTAATCCTAAATTGAGAACTAAGCATTCATTACACTACTAAGCACACTTTTTAAGGGGTTTAAAGCATCAAAAATTTATGTTGATATACATAGGAAAAAATCCAGTAGATTTTACCAAATATAAATTTAATGACAATTGTTGCATAATGTACTACAAATTTTACACATAGGAATTTTAGGGATCAAAAAAGAAAAACTGCAATATTTTCAAGTCACAACTGGCCTTAAATACGCTTGAAATGTTGTGTATTATATTTACTCATAATTTTAAATAGTAATAGACATTTAATTCCTGAAAAAATTAATTTAAAAAAGAGAGTTCTGCATGAAATTAAATTGAATATTTTAGAACAATGACGTTTCTCTGGGTAAACGGGGAAAAAAATTCTCCCCTTCCTTACATTTTCCTCTACTCAGCTTCAGGGATGAGTTCATTTCCGCTTTTTTTCATAATCGTTCTAGTTTAAAATGACGGGAAAACCGATCAAAAATTTTCCCGGTTATCTGGATACCGGATAAATGGTTCTCTACTGTATATAATAATAATAATGCATTCATAATAACCCAGTAGTCTACTGGAAATTCCAGTAGCATTGGCAACTATAGCACTTCTTTTTTAGGTTAAAGTAAAAAAAAGTTCTAACCTTATAAGTTAACTTTTACAAATATATTAAAAATTACATATTCTTTCTAAAATACACACAATTTGGAAGATTAAAAAATTAACTATATTAAATTCCTGGAAAATAAAACCAAGGGTCTGTCTAGGTTTTTTTTAAGAGGTACTATTTTGTGAAAATTTAAACATAATTTGTGAAAATTAAAAATTCTATTAAAAAATTAACACAAAAAATATGGTAAAGTCAGAAAATATTTTCAAAAATTGTCACTTTAAATTAAGATCATTTATGACTGGTAAATTTCTATATATTTATAGTATATATTCAAAAACAATTTTGCTATAGTAAAATTTTGGGCTTAAAATTGTATCCAAATTTAAAATACCATAAAAATCATTGTCTGTCCGTAATAAACTTTAACTTGAATTTAATAAAAACATGCATTTACTAGCACTAATAGTTATTTTCATATAAAGAACATTCTCGACTGGTTCATACAGAATTTTTTTTACAGAGATTGAAAAAGTTCAAGAAAAAAATAAAGGACTGTTACAATAATGTTTAAGATAATAGTTCGAACTTTGACTTACTGAAAAGTTTATAGAGGGAGAGTATTGTCGTTTTATTTTTTAAAATAAATCTGCTTAAAAAAGCTCGCTAAGCAACTGATTAGGCTTACTATGCTGCACTATCTGACCAAACACGTGATACCTATTCGTAGAAGACAGCTGGCGGAAAAGCCCCTCCCCCCTCCATAGATTGCAATGAGAACGCTTCTTTTCTTCCACGGAGTTTTGGAATCCCAGAATGCACTTATGGCCAGGCATGAGGAGAAAAAGATTTTTTCTACTTGTCATAATAGCAATCCACGGAAGGGTTCAATCTCAAGACAAAATGCATAACTAACCTTGATTTCTTTTTTATGGAGATACCAAAACAAAATTTTAAAAGGTAGGGAGGTCTTAGAACTTGTTATAGTAAATTTATCCTGGACAGACCCCTGAGAACTAACAAATAAAGTAGACACTTAAGCAAGTATTTAAAAATAAATATTTAAACATTTCACAGCTTACAGGGTACTCCTATATCTAACATATCTTCTTGTATAGCAGATGCAATAAGTTCATCGTATTCCTTAAACTGATAATTGACTGTACGGCGCGCTCGCACAGATCGCTGTCCATAGAGCTTTTTGTGCTTTTCATCGTCGGAGGACACTTCTTTGCTCTTCACTTTAGGTCTGCGTTGTTCCACAACTTCCTCCTCGTCCTCCCCATCGTCTTCGCTTCTGGAGGATTCTTCTGATTTCTCTTTTTTCTCCTACAATAAAATTTTAAACGTTGAGATATTATTGTTACAAAGCATAGAAAAAATTGCACTTTAAAAAAGGCACTTACAGGCTTTAGGACATTATCCAAACTAATTCCAACATATGCAAGACGCTGTTTTCTGCAATATATAAGTAAATAATTAAAGAAAGGAATAAATTTATCACTCTAAGAGATCTCCCTATCTTACACATTTTATAACCGTCGTTGAATAGCTGACCCAACGTTAGGTTTAAGAATACCAATGTTAAAATTGTAATTTTGAGCCCAATCCAGAAGACAAGGGAACTTCTGGATCAAGTAGTGGGAAGAAACATATATGAACCACTTGTAAGCGTACTTGATTCACGAGTTCCCTTGTCTCCTGGATTAGGTTCTAAATTACAAGGCTATAACATTGAACATTAGTAGCTGTAAACCCTAAATTGGGTCGGCTGTTCAACAACGGTTATAAAGTATAAAAAAATACCCATAGTATGGGAGAGGATACTTTAAATGACTAGAGGGTTGTTGCAATTAAACATTGAGAGCTAGTGTAGCACAAGACAAGTTGGTAGATATACATTTACAACAGGTGTAGGTGTTGTCTGAAGTTAAAATTATATATATGAAAAGTAGATGCAGTTGTTTAGTTGTACCATCCCTGCACCTGTGGGAAATTTCAATAATACCACTGCAGCCGAGCAGCCCATATTGTAGATCGATCTTATCGATACATGTTATAAGGTGACATCTTTATATCGTCATTGATTAAATTTTACTAAACAAAATTGTGAGTGTGGAATCATCCGTAAAAGCTTAGAACTAGATTGTGTTTCCAACTTTAATTTTCTAGATGCAATAATACTAGAATATTACCTAATAAATGATAAATTGAAATTTATGGAATATTTTTCCTTAGATTTATCTATCTTTAGTATTTTTTATAGACATGTATCAGACGTATAAAAACAAACTTGATTATGTGCAGCGCGATGCATGCACATAATTTTTGTAAACAATCCAATTTAGACTACTTTGTAGCCAACGGTTGAAAATAAATTATTAAAAGTTAAAATAATGATGAGGTAAATTGCCCACTGAGAGAAAAAGCTTTAACCCTCCATTTAACAAAAACTAATTAGCTGACATCAGTTTCCTCATGGTGGCAAGGGAGTAGGAATTTGTATGCACTTAATGAGAAAAGTAAACAAAACTTCTGCATTTGGGGGGGGGGGGAAATCACAACAATTTTAAATTTGGCTGTCAATTTAGCAAAATTCGGGATATTTTTTAGGAACAATGGCAAAAATTGAAAGCCTACCAAATGATGCAGCAGATTTGGCAAGTCAGCAATAGTCTTCATCAATTTTAATCCTCACAGTAATGTGTTTCGAGCACTTTGCCCAATAGTTAGCTCAACATAAAAACATATTGAAGTTTCCCAAAAAATGTGGCAGATTTGGCACATCAGCAATAGTCTTCATTTGTTTTAATCCCCACGGTAAGGTGCTTTGGGTAGTTTGCCTAATAGTTAGCACATCTTAAAAGCATCTTGAAGTTTTGAAACGCACACAAATTTTCCAGTAAGGGAAATATGTATAACCCGCAAGGCGTGGATAGGGGGTACATATTTTATAAATTTCTGTAATAATGCATCTAGTAGGTATTTAGAATTTAGAATGTAAAAAGCCTCTAATTTTTAATAGTAAGTTTAACTTTCATTGCACAAACTACAATTACAACACTTAATTCCACCAGCTGTGTTACTAAAATCGTTATATAGCTATTTTTTGATTTGAATAATAACATTAATTGAAATGCTTCACAGGCAAATTACTTGATACGAAAAATAAAGGAACACTAGATGTCAATACAATACACATTGTATACCTGAGTTCTTCCCTTTCTTTTTGTTTCAGCACCAGCTCTAGTTTATGCAACTCTTTTTGTAGACACTCACACAAAAACATCTGGAAAAAAAATGTGCATGAATAATTTAATTTTATACTCACTAAAGCAGGGTTGACACAGAAAAAAATGAACAAAATAGTTGCTTTTAGTAGCCTAAAGCATGGAAATAGTTGCAAAAAACTATGAAAATAGTTGCCTAAATAAGAACAAAAATTCATCAATAATGTGACTATAATTTTATTAAAATCTTAATTGTCATATACCATGATCCATTAAGTCAAGTTGGTGGTAAATATGATAAATTTTAAAAAACATTAGTGTTCTAGCACTAAATTTTTATATCAAAAAAATTTGTATATTTGCAGAAACTTAAATACTTTTATTTTAATACTTTTTGCAGAAATTTATTACTAGAATTCATTCAAAAAACACAAAAATACTTTTTCATTAAAAAAAACAAACATACTTTTTCTAAAACTTTTTCCCTTTTAATCAATAATTGATTTAGTATATATATTTATACATACATAAATTGTGAAAAAGTGATTACTCAAATTCGAAATGCACCCATCGTAATATTGTATAAAAAATTTGTTTTTAAAAAAATCATGCAGAATTTTGTAGCAATAACCGTTGAAAAAAAGTGATCGAGCAACGAAATACACTTGTGATGGAATCTGTGCAAATCGCGTGCGTTGAAAAGTGATAACTCAAATTTGCAATTCAAAAATTTTCAAATTTTTTTTTTTTTTTAAAGAAAAAATAAATAATTGTGCTCAGAAGCTCCTGCCGGCTGCAGGTTGACAACCCAATTTATGTTAAAAACAATTGCTATTAATACAGAAAAGTCTCCTTTTCTTGAAAATAGTAGATTTTTTAGCCTTTTCAGGTGAAAAAAGTTGCTAAAGTCGCTTTAGGCTGAAAATAGTTGCATTTTAGTTGCCTGTGGCAATCCTGCTAAAGAAAGTGAGAGAAGGCAAAACACTTACATGCTCACAAGGTTGGCAATACCAGTCACCATCAGGAATAATCAATAATGGAGGAATCAAACATGTTGTATGATATCCGCTGTCACATTTATCACATAGCAGTATCTAAAACACACAAAACATCATAAAAACAAAATAATGGTGTGATACATAGAATAATACACAGTGACAGAATGACTATCTGGAATTTGAATGACTGGAAGTAAATATAGAAAAAAAAAGTATTTCCTCAAAAAAAAAAAAAAAATCCTTTTTTCTTGCAATTAATATTATTGACAGATCGCTATTTCATCACCCATTTCTTTTTTATTGCATATATTTTTAAGCCGTTACTTCATATTTTACAAACTAGCTATCAATAATTAAAAGAAAATAACACAGAAATATATTCGGATTGGCCTTTATATATGATGAGAAGATTTAGCAGTTCTTAAAGAGAGCAGAAATCAGTAGGATTTTTTGTCACTTAATTGAAAACTGATTTAGATGCAGCACTGATATGTGACATAAACAATTAAGTCCAAACTGGAAAAGACAGTAAAGGAGTAGAATTTTTTTTTATTATAGATTAGATGCAAACTTGCTCTGGACAGATATATTTTAAAGTGGTAGTTTATCAATTGTGATTCTTGATTTAATAAATCCAATTTTTTAGTAGATTTTTACCCACCACTATTTCTAAATAGTTCGTAGGCTTATATAATTCACCACTTTATAGTACTTGCCATGACATGCCTTTTAAAAAGCTAGCAAAAATAGTCAAACATTTGCAAAATTTACTTAGTTATTTACCGTTGGTGTGTCCGGAGCAGTTGGTATTTCTGTGCAAACAACAAAATTTCATAGCTCTTGGTAGTTAAGGGGAAAAAATATTTTTTTTAAAGAAATTGAGAAAATTTTCAAAAATACTTAATTTTTCATCAAATAAATATACATACAACATCATTGATATTTTCAAAACGTTAAAATCTAAATAAATTATATGCAACATAATTTAAATGAATAATTTATGTATAAATTTACTTTTAAATCTAATCACATTTATTATTCTACCAAAAAAAAAATCTACAAATGAAAGAGATGCCAAGTATAAATTCTAGTCCTAATATTTTTAATTATTTATATTATTAATATATTTATACATATAAATAAAATATACAAGAATTTNCAGAAATATATTCAGATTTGCCTTTATATATGATGAGAAGATTTAGCAGTTCTTAAAGCGAGCAGAAATCAGTAGGATTTGTCATTTATTTGAAAACTGATTTAGATGCAGCATTGATATGTGACATAAACAATTAAATCCAAACTGGAAAAGACAGTAAAGGAGTAGAATTTTTTTTTTAATTAGAGATCAGATGCAAACAGAGATGCCAACTTGCTCCGGACAACAAATATATATTTTAAAGTGGTAGTTTATCAATTGTGATTCTTGGTTTAATAAATCCAATTTTTTAAGTAGATTTTTATCCACCACTATTTCTAAATAGTTCATAGGCTTATATAATTCACCACTTTATAGTACTTGCCATGCTATGCCCTTTAAAAAGCTAGCAAAAATAGTCAAACATTTGCAAAATTTATTTAGTAGTTATTTAGCGTTGGTGTGTCCGGAGCAGTTGGTATCTCTGTGCAAACAACAAAATTTCATAGCTCTTAATAGTAAAGAGGGAAAAAAATTTTTTTTAAATAAATTGAGAAAATTTTCAAAAATACTTAATTTTTCATCAAATAAATATACATACAACATCATTGATATTTTCAAAACGTTAAATTCTAAATAAATTATATGCAACATAATTTAAATGAATAATTTATGTATAAATTTACTTTTAAATCTAATCACATTTATTATTCTACCAAAAAAAAAATCTACAAATGAAAGAGATGCCAAGTATAAATTCTAGTCCTAATATTTTTAATTATTTATATTATTAATATATTTATACATATAAATAAAATATACAAGAATTTTTATACATAAAAGCGATGGATGATTTCTTAAAACTTCTGGACCTGGATTTTCGAAAACTTTCAAATCACGGGCGAAAAATATGGATTTTTTCCGGAGCACAATCATCTCTGATTCCCCCGACTGATTTTAGCAAATCTTTCACTTTTTTGCACATAAAATATATTACAAAACACTGATATTTGCCATTAAAGTTGAAACAAAACAATTAAGAAATTCATTATAAGAAAGAAGTAGGGGAAAATATCACACTTCAAAGTACCAAAAAATCAAGTTAATTCAGATTTCATGAGTTATTGGGTATTTTAGTTAAATAGACTGACATTTCCAGATATATAAACTGCACTGATTTTTCCCTGTTCTGAGGCTACCCTGAACATACTGAATTAAAATAGCAAACAAACCCATTCAGGTCGATCATATTTGCCACATTTAATGCAAGGCGTGTCGTCATTGATGACCGTTTCTTCAGCTGCCTCTTCAGGAGCTGGAAAAAAGAGTATTTTGATGTGATTATACAAATTTATAATGCATTGCAGTTATACAAGGAATAAATACAGCAATTTAATAAATTATTACAAAAAAAGTAATCTATCAAAGAAAGCACTAAGACTGACGAATTTTTCATAAAAACGTTAACCACAAACGTTTGTAATGCGAAATATTAGATTTTCTGCATAATAAAAAATATTATTAAATGAGGAAAGGAACATTTCAGTTTGACTAAAATGTTAAAATTTAAAAACAAATAATTGTAATCGATGTTAGAATTATTTAATTTAGGGGTGCACAACCTGCGGCCCTTCGACTACTGAAGTGCGGCCCGCGAAAGCTTCTAAACACAATAAAAAAAATTTTAAAAAGGGCAATTTTTAATTGCACTTTTAAGTCATCACGTTATGACACAATCAATTTTAACAGATTCTTAAGTAAATGTACATTTAACGCGCTTTCTTTAAGCCGATTTCATAGTAAATATAAATGATTTTTTTTAAACAGTTATTTCCGCTTTTCTACGTGATTTCGAAAATCCCGAATTTTTATTACGACGCGAGTTTCAGATCGCAAGTTTAAATAATCACTTTTCTTGCACTTTATTTGTGACGATTTCATCTTAAATTTAAGTGATTTTTTTTTTTTGCAATTCTTTCTTTTTTTTCAAAATTTTTTTTCGGTAGTTATTGCTATGCGTTCCCACGTATTATAAAAAATTCCAATTATTCTATTACGACATGCAAATTTTAAATCATGCATTTGACACGCTTTATTCGTGCTGAGTTCAGCATAAATATATATTTTCCCACTTATTTCTATGTTTTTCCACATGATTTTGACTATCCCGTTATTTAACTATGATGTTATTACGATGCGTGATTGTTAATCGGGCAATTAAATAATCATTTTTTGATACGGTATTTCGGTACAGTGTTATCGTAAATCCTAGTTATTTTTCCTTCGTTTTTATTTCCGCAACGAATATGATTTGGTCGAATGTGGTAATGAATTGTGATTTGGTCAAAAACCAAATATTCGGCAAAAAAAGAAGAAAAAATCGACTGAGCGCAGTACAATTGGGGCCAAATAGCAAAATCTTTTACTGCTACTAAACACTGAAACTAAAATTTTAATGCTCAGAATAATATTTCCTGGAAAATCGTATTCATAAATTAACTCTAAAAAGAACGTTTTTGCCAATCAAGGCGAATCAAGAACGTTTTTGAAAATGTCGAAAAGCGAAACAGAGAACATAAAAATCAATCTTAATTTTTGAAAAATTTTTTTAAAGCTGAACATCTCAGTTTTTCAATTACCAGAAAAAGCAAAAGAAAAATGAATTAAGTAATCAGAAATGCTATTACAGGGTTCCCACTCTATAATGAGATTGAAATTCAAGAACTTTCCAGGACTTTTCAAGGACCTCAACAAAATTTTCAAGGACCTTAATCTAAGACCAATTTTAAAAATTCTTCTCTTCTATTTTACTAGAAGCAACAATGCTTGTTGTNGTTTCTTCAGCTGCCTCTTCAGGAGCTGGAAAAAAGAGTATTTTGATGTGATTATACAAATTTATAATGCATTGCAGTTATACAAGGAATAAATACAGTAATTTAATAAATTATTACAAAAAAAGTAATTTATCAAAGAAAGCAATAAGACAAATTTTTCATAAAAACGTTAACCACAAACGTTTGTAATGCGAAATATTAGATTTTCTGCATAAAAAAATATTATTAAATGAGGAAAGGAACATTTCAGGTTGACTAAAATGTGAAAATTTAAAAACAAATAATTATAATCGATTTTAGAATTATTTAATTCGAATTTCAATTACTAATTACTGTTACTGATAATTTTAAGACCAGTTATTTTCCAGGTATGATATAGGAAATATTCCAGGTTTTTGCAAAAAAATTGCAGCTTTCCCTGATTTTTGGAGTTAAAATAAAATTCTCTGACAATTCCAGGTTTTCCCTGTTCTCACTAATCCGTGGGAAGCCTGATTTGATTATTAGAATCTGATATTAGTTTTGGTGTTTGTTATTGGCAAAATTAAGTGACGTTAATACACACAAAAAATTTTTAAAAAATAATCACACAAATAATCAAAAAAATAATGTTACCTCATAAAATGTAGAAAACATAAAAAGTTAAAATAAATAAATAACTGAGGAGAAAAAATTGATAAATGTTCTATGAAATGTAATTTTCATAGTACACGAACAGTCGGTAATAGAATCAACAGAATCAATCAGCAGCAAAATCCTAACACAGACTGATATTGTAAAAATTACACTAATCTAACAAGAGTACAGCAAAATTAGTATATATAAGGTAGATGAAAATAATTCTTAAAAAATAATCTTCAAAAATGTGCTATTTTAATAAAAAAAATTTATACGCTTTTAAATAAATGGAATAATTGAAATTCAAAAACGGGTATAAGTCCCTATTACAGTCAATAAACAAAAACCTTATACAGCTTTCAAAAATTAAAATTTATTTTTAAAATTTTTGGGGTTTTTTTTGTGTGTGTGTGTATATATCAGCCTATTGACAGACAAATTTTGTTAAGGACTTGAAACAAATAGTAATGGAGTAAGTTCAAGAATTAAAAAAAGATCTTTCTGTTTCTTCATTCAGTAATATTTTTGATTGTTTTTTAAACCTGAGAAGGAAAAAAAATCTTCATATACCACGATAATTTTTTTACATATGAGGGGGAAAATATGCAGATAATATATTTTACAGCACTTGCTGATGTGTTTCAACATTTCTGTCATACAAATGTGAAACAAAATTCTCCAAAAAAAGAAGTATTTCAGACAAAGAAAGAAAAAAAAAACTTCTGGACCTGCAGAGATGCCAACTTTCTAAACCAGCTACCAGTAATCATAAGTACAACAGAAATATAATCTTTAGCATTTATAAAATTTAAATTATTGCAATTTTTATCGATGTATAAACAACTTAATTTTAAATAGGTATATAATACTAACAAAATTATGAATTTACTATTTAATGAAAATTAACAATTAAATTTAAAAAAAATTATAAACTAGGCACAAGTATCAAATTAAAAAACTTGAAATTTTATACTTCATTATAAAATGTTTAAAATAAATTGATTACTTGGAATCTAGTTTTTAGTTAACTAACCATTATTGCCTTTTTAGCATCATCTGAACAACTAAAAATTTCTGTTCAAAGCATTTTAAATTTATGTTCTTTTGTTGTTCTATAATAAGGAGAAAAGTTCTTAAGAGTTGGAAAAAAAAGGTTTCATTTTCTTTCCCCTGATTAATAACACTTTTAGATGCAATATTGCTATGTAAACCAAGCAATAAACCCAAAACTAGTAAAGAGGGTAGAACCATTAATTACAGAATTATGACATCAACAGTTTTATGAACTTAATAACAATCCCATTAGTAAATCTTTAACCACATTAAACAAACGCGAAAAAAAAGTATTATAATTAAAAAAAGGGGGCAATAAATTCTAAAATAATAAGGCAGTTTCGTCATGGAATTTTCATATTTTTCTTGAAACTTCTAATATTTGTATCTATCCTTTGCATCAGAATAACTGCTACCTAGAAATACATGGGTATGGTAGGATCAAATTCACAAAATATTTGAGTGGTTTTTGCTTTTTAAGATTTCTTTTTTAGCATTTTCTGTAAGCATTTTCAACAATTTTGTAGTGATTTGTATTCGGTAAATAGCTTGAAAATTTAAAAGTTCCAAGCAATTTTCAAAGAAGTTTCTGTAAATTTTGAAAGAAAATTCTGAACGGTAATTTCGAACAATTATTGTTGGGTATATTATATCTGCATCCTAAAATTAAATGGGTTCTAACCTTTCTTGGCTGTCCTGGCTCTCCTGACAAAAACAGGTTCAGCATTTTCGTCTATTTCTTCACACGCAAATTCATCCTCATTGACTTCGAATATAAGAGGCTCTTCCTGTTCTTCTTCCTCCTCCTCTTCCGTTATTTCCTCTATAGTAGTGGAAGACTCCGAGGACACATCCCAGGGCCTGTGACCTGCACCCCTACGGCTAGGGCGACCCCTTCTCCTCCTCCTCTTCTCCTTGTTTTCAGCATCCCTCGAATTAGAGAACTCACTACTTTTGGTATCTTCTTCAAACATCAGAGCCTAAAAACAGTTTAAAAAATTTTCCTCGTTTAGACATACATTTTTAAAACTAAAATTGTCTTTTGAAATAAAAATTAAAATTTAGGCCTAAAAATTGTTGTTTCAGTTTATATCTTACAAAAATCTTAATGAAGCCAATAAAAAAAAAACCAAATAAAACAAACAAACAAACAAAAGTTCTTTGTTCAATTTTATATATATAT